TCGTAATCGTAATCGCTTTATTGTGCGCTTGAAATATTGACAAATTATAAAGGCATAAGGCATGGCCGCAGCATCGCATCGCAGCACGGTTCTACGACTGATTGCATCTTATCACGCAGCAGCAGCTCGCAAATCACTTATTTTGCCATCAGCTGGGCCAATTCGCAGGCGCAGGCGCAGGCATGGAACAGGCCCAGTTTCAAGTTCCAGATCCTAACCCTCAATTCCAAGCCGTACCAATTGCTGCGAAAACTATGCAGCACACTCTCAGCTATAATATAATATGTTTGTAGAGCTTACGACTAGCAGATACCCTGTACCCAAGCTGCATAAACATTTTAGTTATCTTCTGAACATACATATTCTCTATGTATCTGCTGTGCATCTTCCTTTTCCTTCTTTCCCTTAGCCCCACTCTATGCTTGGGAATGTCACTCTTAAATTACTTCGGAGCTTATAGTCTGATCGTTTTGAGAATTTCAGGGCTTGAAGATTGTTTCTAAAAGTGTGTATATACCAAAGCTCAATACGGTTTCTTTAAATAGAAGATCTTTTCCAATTTCTGGGAACAAATGGGGACGGTGTCCAAAAAGTGAAATATTTGTATTTTAGGAAAGATTTATACAACTTGCTAGATTCAGCTTTCGAAATGGGCGTGGCAAACTATTATGCCAAATTTGTAATACCAAATTGAATCGACCATTGAACAAAACCTATATACCCCATAAGCCAACTTGGCTACAGCGTTTAAGGGAAGCGGAATATGGCCAATGCACTGCCTAGAGTCGCGAGTGCGTTGGTAAGGGGAGGGGCAGGGCGGGGCGGTGCATGCTCTGTTGCGGCTGTCAGTGGTGTGGCCTGGTGGCGCTGCCCTGTTTAAAAGCTGTCGATGTCCCGATTTGACAGGCCCAAGTGAAAAATGTCCATGCGTCCAACGCGCAGAACAATGTAAAGGCCCGGCTAGTACGTGTACGTGTACGTGCTTAAAGCTGAGACAGGCGCACACAGCCACTTAAATGGCTTTAAAAATAAACCCAACGGGCCTGGTCTGTTGTGGTTGTTGCTGTTGTTGCTGTTGCTGTTGGTGTTGTTTTTGGCCTGTAACAAATTAAGGCTTTTCACTTTCCGCCGTCGCGTTGTTGTCTGCCGTACACACCCCGAAAAAGCCAAAGGAATGCTGCGTGCCCCAAATGAATACCTAGGCGAGAGAGCATACCCCATAATCATCATCAGAGATGTTCCTGTTCAGTTGTTGTTGCTGCAGCTAATCCCACAGCTAAAGCTTCTAGGCTGCACTCTGAAAAATCAAAGTTGTTGTTATTTGTATTGGCTGTAATATGTATTGACGCGGCAACTAATAATAATAACCCAGTCAGGAGTAGAACGCCAATGTGACCAAAAAAAAAAAAAAAACAGAAAAAAGAAAAACAAATTTCCGCAAGATCCACTGCAACTGATACCAGTAGGAGCCGCAGCAAAAGCAGTCCAAAACTCGAAACTGGCAAATGGAAATAACTCAACTGGTCAAAAGGAGTGTGCAGCAGAATAATGATAATGACGACAGCAGACAGTTAAAGGGCTCGAGGGGAGTGTGTGCAGGGAGGAGGACAAAGAGGAGGACGAGGAGGGCGTGTTTGTGGCCAGAAATCAGAAACAAATAAATGAGTTCATGCAACGGCTTTGAAATGAAGACAAACTGCGACGTCGCGTTTGGCTCCCTGACGCCGCTCTTGCCCCGTCCCCGTCGCAGTCCACCGGCAACTGTCGCTCCTTTTGGCTGCTGAGCGTCTAGAATTTGAGGCAGCAACTGTGGCAGCAGCTGTGGCAACAAGGCGGCCACCGCCTATCGTCGACTCAGATTGCAAAGCGCGACAACAGGCCAGCGTGCAGCAGCAGGAGGAGGAGGATGTTGCAGGTTGGACTGGGGCTTGTTGGTCTCCAGTTGCTGCGTATGTGGCATGCCGGTTCAAGAGTTCAGCTACGTTTTTTGCCACCTACAACATGCGCGAACAGCCGCCATACAAGAGCTTTATTGTTAACCTTACCAACATTCTTCCTCTGACAGGGGCATGGCGACCACTTTTGCTTTTGGCCCCCCGAACAAATGTGAATAACAAGTGAGAAGAGCAAAAATTTCATACACTCTGCATGTGTTTTAGACATATTTTAAAGAGGAAGGAGCATTGCTTTATAGGAATATTCTGTTTTGGGTGGGTACAAATTGAATAGCAACTATTTTGTAAGAAAGCAAAACATATTTTTTAAGGTCTCCCGAAAGGTGATATGAAGAAATTGATATCGGATTTGGGAAAGAAACAGTTTTCCTTATGATAAATCGATTTTAATCATGTTAAAAAAGTATATATAATAACAACTTAATAGATATATAATTAAATTTTGTTAAGATTATTCTATTTTAATTGGATTAGCAAAAAGGCTTAAGCCATAATGCATAGAAAATATATCAAGATTAGGACGTGCATAAAAATACCTTGTTTTATAAACTGAAAACTCTGTTTCTCTGATCCTTTCTTTTCCACCTAAATGATGTATGGTACTACGATAATGTTAAATTCTTACAAATTGTAAAGACATAAAACCATTTTGAAGTTCAGCTGAACAAAGATTTTGTACAGCTGTACGATATAGAGGATACGCTCTCGATCTGCCTGAAGTCTATATAAAAGCTACCAGGAGCAGATTTTAACTCACATTCAATTCAGTTCATGTCCATGATTGAGATTAAGATTTATATGGCCTATGGGCTATATGGGCATATATGTGTCTTCTTTAATGTGTAACACATTGCGTGACATAATTATGGGACCCACTAAGGGTAAGGGCATGCAAAGAAAACAACTGAAAAAATAATAATAATGAAGGCGTTCGCCCGGCAATCCATTTCCAGGTCGTCTCACAAAATGCATCGTCGATGGCCACAAATTTGCAGTCCTTGCGTTTGCCAGTTGCGGCTCGGTGGTTGGCGGTTTGCCGCCTGGGGCCATTGAAACCTTAATGGAAATTAATCACAAACACAACAGCAATTTGTAAGAAGCAAGAACTCGGCTTGTATTTTTTTTAAGTATATTTCATATTTATTTTTTGATTTTCTTTCGCTATTACCAGCTAAGGCTTAAACCTAATGCTATCGATCTAATGGGCAATACAAAGTATATAAATTTATATATGTATATGTATTTATTTATATTTAGTTTTAAATTTTTACAGCTTTGCTAGATCGTAAGGCAATTACACAAGTAGCATCACACATAAAGTGAAAAATAACTAAGAAACTAAACTTAAAATCGAATATCGTAAAACAAATATCGTTAATCGTATACCGTATATACTTATATGGTATATATGTACGAACTCTTCGCGTGGAAAAACATTTACAAGGGCTCTCCAATGATTACTAAAAACAACTTTTTACAAATTCCTCCCCTGACACAACACTCTACGCTCTTTCTCTCTCCACAAATTCTCGGTATCTCAGTTGATTATTCTCTTTATTTTGATAATGCGCGATATTATGGTATGGGAGGGAAGGGCCATGGGGAATGGAGGCAGACATGCGAGCGAGCCTTGCTTATTCTTCCTCTTGTTCGATTCTAAATGGTAATGTTTAATGGTTTAAGTGCACTTGGTTCGTTTAGTCGCGTTTCCTTTCGTTGCGATGCGAAAAACTAGTTTAGTTCCTAGGCTTAACTCTACGTTTTACGTACTACTTATTACGTACTACGTTAGGGTCTACGTTTATTTTTATTTCGTTTTTCGTTCTTTTTTTTTTCTGTATCTTTTAGCTTTTAAGAAATGCTTACAACTTATGGCTGGCTTGGTTTTTTGTCTGTTGGGGCCCGTTGGCGCTTCGAGGCGGCCAACCAAGCGTATTTATCAGAGAGTCTTTGTTGGCTTTGTGGTCGTTTACTACTACAATCGTACATATGCTATATATACATTACATACAACAACTAATGTGTGTGTGTCTGTGTCTGTGTGTGCGTGTTGGTGTGCGTGTGTGTCTGTGCGTATAAATATGTTGGTATGTTGATCTGGCTAATGAGTTCCCAGCAACACTCGGCGATAGAATGCGGCATCAAAGGCATGCCTGACATTTATAGAACTTAATTTAATTATGTTTACTTTAGTCGCAGACGACTTGAAGAGTTAACAGCTAAACTGATTAAAATACAAGCATAAAATTCATGGGCACAGCTTAATCAAAAATCGCCCAGCTTGGCAATTGTCAATTGCTTGCATCGTGTTGCCAACTATAATACAGATAGTGCTAATGTGTTGCCAACACTTTAAAAATGTTAGCTATAAAGAGATTTGTTTTAGTTTAATTAAAAATTAATTTGAATAATAATTTTTAGCATGAAGTTGGCAACGTGAACATTAATATCATGCTGTAGTTGGCAACGTGAACACAATTGTTATGCTGTAGTTGGCAACGCGATTCAAACATCTAATGCATATAAGCTGTTAATTAGAACTCGTTTAATTTTCACCTTGCTTTTCTAAATTGAGATTTTCTTTTTATAACATAGCCTGAAAGCTGCCTGTACTAATTATGCCCTAAATAATTTGTCTACAAGGGAATCGAACTCTAAACCCACACGTATCTGCTTATTAAAGAGCTCGTTTAATTTTCGCCAAGTTTTCTTCAAGTTTTGTAAATTGCCTTTGTTTTGTTTGTTTTGTTATTGGAAGCATACATTGCCTTCAAGGATCTCGAACACCAAGCTTCCTGCACAGATGCCCAATACGCTGCTTAAGAAACTGAGCTTTCTTCAAGTCTTTTGCAGCTAAAGCAAATATTTTAATCAAATTTGAAATGTTAAGCAGTTAAGACATGAGGTCATGAACTCTATATACTACTATATATTGGGCAGAAAGATAACTACGATTAAATAAAAAAAATAAATATATTTAAGAAAAATATTGATAATAACCAATATAGGAAGAAGAGCTGAATAAAATATTAAAATAGTTGGAGAGATGAGGAATATTTAAAAGGGAGTATAAAGTGTTGCTGAGACTCTGTTGTGTAGGCATGTTTATAAGTATGTTAGTGTGCGTATGTGCATGTATGTATTTGTGTGTATGTGGGTGTGTGTGTGTGTGTGAGGGTGGTGTCTTATTGTGTGGTGCAAGTAATACTATGCATGTGCAGCTGCGCTCCATTCAAATTCAAGTCTCTGGCACTAACTAGAACTAAGTACGCTATGCTAAACTCTAAATGGTGATCACACAGATTTTGGGGGGAATTGCGGCTTCAGTTCCTGGTTCCTGCTTTCTGGTTCCTGGTTCACATGCGTGTGCCCACATTGGCGCGCTGGCTGGGCTGTGGGGCGTGGCGCGGCAGCGAGACATGCGACATGTGGGTGGCCGGCCCGCCCAGCGGCGATATCGACGGCGAGCGCGTCGCCAGCGGCGACAGCGAAGGCGAAAACGACGGCGACATAGCCGAGGAGGTGCTGAAGCCGCCGCTGGCCTCGTGCCCGATTGGGGAACGCGGCAGCCCGGACATGCTGAGATGCGGCGGCAGACGCAACCCACCCACCGCATTGCCCAGCGCGGGCAGATTGATGGCGCGCGGCGCCACATTAGTCAGCAGAGGTGGGGGGATGTGCGCAGGCGGCGCCTTCAGCACCACGCTGCCGGCGCCGGTCGAGGAGAGCGAGGAGTGGGCCAGCGATTGCTTGCTCTTGGCGCTGGACGAGGCGCCGCTGCCGCTGTGACCGCTATGCTCCGACATCGTGTCGTCCTTCAGTCTTGCGATCTCGGAGAAGACGTGCGCCAGCGGCTGATACTGCGGCCCCCAGTCGAGCAGATAGTCCCAGTTGTAGCTGCCCGTCAGCTCCTCCTCGCTGTGCACAATCGAGCTGAGCGAACCGCCCACATTGCTGCCCCCGACCACAACGGGCACAGGGACAGGAACCTCGCCGTAGCTGGCCATCACGCCGTGTCCATGTCCGTGTCCGACGGTGCCGATGCTGCCCGCTGTGGTGGCCGCGTCGTCGGCGCTGCTGCCACGCTCGGAGCCGGCGCCGCCGGCCACATCGTTCAGCTTGGCGTAGATCAGATTCGTGATGTCCGAGCGCGCCGTCTCGTCCGCATCGAACATGTGCAGCGTGGGCATGGGCATGGCCATGGGCATCGGATGACTGGAGCCGGCCATGCTGGAGGCACCGCCAGTGCCGCCGCCGCCGCTCGGATCGTGATCGACAATGCCCAGGCGTGCCAGATACTCCTGTGTATTCTGCACCGAAATGTCCGAGATGCGTCCATCGTCGCTGCCGGCGCCGGCGCCGGCACGATGACTCAACGGCCCCTCGTTGATCATGCGTATCTCCTCATCCTCGCCATCGTCCTCCGCCGAGCCGCGTCCACTCGAGCCCGACTGCTCCGAGCCGGATAGCTCCGATGTGGTCGCTGCGCCCGAGCTGCCCGCATGCGGTCCAAACGGCGGTATTTCATCGTATTTGGGCGGCGCAAACTGACCCGAGGCCACTGCACCACCGCCGGCACCGCCGCCCGTCGACGTCATGCCGCCGGCGCCACCACGTATGGGCATCGTGTCAAACGCACTCGGATCCACATAGCTGTTGGAGTTACCCACGCCCACAGTTTCGCTGCTGAGATGCGGCTTGACCGCGTTGCGCGGCCGACGACTGCGCATGTGGATGAACAGAAAGATGCCGGCGGCGGCGCACAGAATGAGCAACAGCGTCACCAGCAGAGCCACAATCCAATCGCTGGGACCGCCGCCGCCGCCGCTAGAGCCGCCCGCACCAGCTGCGCCCGCGCCGGCAGCCGCAGCACCACCAGCGCTGCCAATCGATGCCAGATTCGTGTTGGGATGTGCCAACGGATCGAGGGCGATCTCGACGACGGTCATGTTGGTCAGCGAGTTGTGGCGGCCCGAGGAGGCCGAGATCACCAGACTGATATCGCGTCCGTCGTCGATGAGGCTGTCGTCGAGCTTCCTTTTGATCAGGACCGCGCCGCTGCTGCGATTCACCTTGAAGTGACTGTGCGGTGCGCTTAATTGGTAAACCACACGCCCGTCCGCACCGCTATCGGCATCTGTCGCCGTCACCTGGCCGACGACAAAGCCCAGCGGCAGCGCCGCGGATGCCGGCAGCACAAAGCGATATGTGCGCTCCGTGAACTGTGGCGTGAACTCGTCCCTCGACTCGATCTCGATGCGCACCGCCACCCGCGCACTTCTTCCGCCCATGTCGCTGGCCCGCAGCTGTAGATGATAGCGTTGCCGCTGCTCGTAGTCGAAGACCGCCGCGGAGCTGACAATGCCCGTGACGGCATCGACGCGAAACAGACGCCACGAACTGTCGTCGACGTCGTCGGCGGCCGGCACCAGGCTATAGTTGAGCTGGCCAAAGGCGCCGCGATCCAGATCGCTGGCGCGGCCGCGAAACACGGAGCTGCCCAGCGGCTCGTTCTCGGCCAGAAAGTGTACATACTCGCCGAGCGGAAATTGCGGCGCATTGTCGTTCTCGTCGTGCAGCGACAGCTGGAATCTCTGCAGGCTGCACAGCGGTCGCGGCTGATGGCTATCGCAGGCGCGTATGATCAGCTCGTAGCTGATCGCTCCGCTATCGTAGTCCAGGCGATTGTTCACGAACAGCACGCCGCTGACCAGATCGATGGTGAACATGTGCTCATCGTTGCCGGAACTGATGTCGTACACCACCTCCGAGTTGGGCGTATTCTCCTGATCCGCATCCACCGCCAGCAGCTGGGCAATCGAGTAGCGCAGCGGCGCCAGTTCGCTAATCTCCGCCTCATACTTGGCGCTCGGATCAAAGATGGGCGCATTATCATTGGCGTCCAGCACGCTGACAAAGACCGTGATGCCAGCGCTGGAATTCGAGCTGGAGCTGGAGCTGGCCGTGTTTCCGGCTTGACTCAACTGCAGCTGCAGCTTGTAGAGATCATTGCGCTCGCGATCCAACGGCTTGACCAGCACGAGCGCCTTGTTGGGCAGCAGCTCGAAGGCCTGCTCCTCGTTGCCCGCGGCTATGCTGAACGCCTGATCCCGGACATCGTGTCCCAGCTGCAGCACCACCGCGCCCAGCGGTGCCGCCTCGCTAATCTGTGCACGGTACTGGGTCTGCTGGAACTGCTGGCGGCCCGAGCCGCTGTCGCCGGGCTGCACGCGCAGCAGCGTGCTGCCGCTCAGTTGAGGTTTGCCCGCATCCCGTGCCACAATGCTGAGGAAGTAATCCCCGCTGCTGGACACGGCCGCCGGCAGCTGGCTCATGTTGACAGAGACCACGCCCGTCGTGGCGTGTATGCTGAAACCGGCCAAAGGTGGTTCGATGTGGTAGCTGAGCTGCGAGTTGCGACCCTCGGCATCCGCATCCGTGGCATTCACCGACAACAGCTCCACGTCCATGGAGGAGCTGCTCTCCAGCAGCTCCGTTGCGGCGGGCAACAGGGCAAAGTAGGCCGGTGGTCGCTCGGCTAGAAAACGTGGCGCATTGTCATTCTCATCGGCCACGCGCACCGTCAGCGTGGTGCGTGCCTCGTGCGCCGCATCGGATGCTATGATCTCCAATTGGTACTCCTGCTGCAGCTCGTAGTCCAGGCGGCGCTTCAGCACCAGCTTGCCGCTGTAGCGATCCAGGCCGAACAGCGACAGGTTCTCCATTTCCACGGGCGAGTCGCTGCCCAAGCGATAGGTCAGCGTCGGATAGGTGTCCACGTCGTTGGCCGATAGCGAGGCTATCACGGCGCCCAGTTCGGTGGCTGTGAAAGACAAGCCGAAGAGCAAGTGGGAAGATATTGGGGGTTAGTCGGGAATCTCTGATGTTCAGCTAAAGGAAGGTCTACAGAACACTATTCTTTTGATCTAGCTCGATTATCTATAGGGATTTGATCAATTGGTTAATCAGCTGATTCTTTGGATCGTTTGGGATTACTTTTTACACAGTTTTTAATTACTTATGAAAATCTAAACGCCTTGGCAGAAAACATTGCAGATGATCTAATCGTTCCGATGAGGTATATATCTTCTTTATTGGGACAAACTATATTCTAAATTTGTTGGCTTAAGGCTCGTGTATTCCATAATTCCATTATATGCCGCTTTTAAGCTAGATCCAGCTGAGCACATTTTTTGCTTTTAAAGATGCAATTTTTCTTTTTAAGTATGTTTTGTTGGTATGGGAATATTCCATATAAATCGGACCGACCAAATCTGATAGTTATATCATTTAACTAACATAGATATTATTGGAAAAGGGGCAGTATCTGTTCATAATCTCTATATTTGGCTTTGCTTAAAAACCCATGCCTCAAAATCGATATTTATCGATTTTATGAAAATCTTTAATATTCAAAGTTGTTTCTAATTTAAGAATTGCCTTTTCTCTCACTTATATGATTTAACTAACACACAAATTATTGAAACGGAGCGAGGTATCTATTCCTAATTTTTATATTTGGCTTTGCTTAGAAACTCCTGTCTCAAAATCGATATTTATCGATATTTTTAAAATCTTAAACATTCGAATTAGTTCTTAATTTAAGAATTGATTTTACTCTCACTTACGATTACAAATTGAAAACTTACCTTCGCTGACGCTGACCACATTGTTGGGCGGAAACGTGGGCTGGTTGTCGTTGACGTCCACGATGTGGACGCGTATCGTTGAGGTGCCCGTCATCTGGGGCACACCCTCGTCCGTGGCAATGATCTTCAGACTGTAGACATCACGGATTTCGCGATCCAGCACAATATTCGTTCGCACAATGCCGCTGAAGGCGGGCTCGATGACAAACGCGTTGTCATGATTGCCGTCCACAATGTGATATCGTAGCCGGGCATTGGCGCCCTCGTCGGCATCGAAGGCCTGCACCTGGGCCACGAAGGTGCCCTTGCTGTTGCCCTCCCAGGCGGTGGCCACGAACTGACGCTGCGAGAACTGCGGACTATTGTCGTTCTCGTCCTCCAGCTCAACCACCAGCTCCGCATAGCTGGACAGGAAAGGTGCCTCCGTGGTGCGTGCCACCAGCACCAAGCGCAGCTCGTGCGGCTGTGTGGCAGCCAGGGCGAACGAGGATTGGGCCAAGGCGCGTTGACTGCGCGAACTGTTCGTATTGTCCGGCTGTTGCAGTTGCTGCTGCTCCGACTGTTCTGCCGGCTCCGTCTGCTCGTAGTGCATGGCGCGTCCGCGACTAAGCGGCGTCAGAGTGGGCGTGGCAAAGCGATCATAGTCCAGCAGCTGAGGATTGGCTACACGTATCTCACCGGTGGCTGCATCTAGCGTAAAGATGCCCTCATCATTGCCCGCGCCAAACGAGAAGTTCAGTTTCTGGCGGCGCCCATCGCTGCGCACAGCGGCCACATGAAGCAGCCGGGTGCCCGCGGCTGAGTTCTCGCGCAGCTTGCTGCGATACGTTTCGTTCTGGAAGTGCAGAGCTGGTGCTCCCGGGTTGGGCTCACCCACCAGCAGCTCGATAAGACCCACGCTGCTCTGCGCTGGATTGCCCTTGTCGCGCGCAATTACCTCCAGCTGCAGCAGACGGCCCGTCTCGCTGGCCAGGCTCTGGGTGGCACTGAGGGCGCCCGTGTTGGGATTAATGCGAAACTTGCTGCGCATGGCGGGCGTTGTCAATGTGCTGTCCGCCTTCAGGGCATAGAGCAGCTCGCCATTGGCGCCCTGGTCCGCGTCGTGCGCCTGCACCTTGAGCAGCGTCTGGCCGGGCTGAATGAGCGCCGGCACCTGCCCACTGTAGGGATAACGCTCAAAGACGGGCCTGTTGTCGTTGATGTCCAGCACATTGATCTGCACGGCAACGCTGCCGGAACGAACCTCATAGCGTCCACAATCGGTGGCCAGCACCATGAAGCTGTAGGTGGACTGCAGCTCGCGATCCAGTTTGCTGTTCGGAAGAGCATGCAAAGAAATGCAGGCAATTAGTGGGTTGAGCGTCAAGTGGCATTCGTAATTAAGACAAGCAAGATTGAGGGCTAGCGAAAGGGAGGAATTCCAATCTAATTCAAGCTATGGGTTGGTTTAGGCTTCCGAAAGGGTATCTGTAGAGGAATTCCTAGCTAAGTCAAGCTGAATTCCTATCTAACACACGCTATGGGTTGGCTTAGGCTCCCGAAAGGGTATATGCAGAGGAACTCTGGGCTAACTCAAGCTGAATTAGAGGAATTCCTATCTAATTCAAGCTATGAGTTGACTTAGGTTTCCGAAAGGGTATATGTAGAGGAATTCCGGGCTAACTCAAGCTGAACATCTGTGGGATCAATGATTGCGAAAGGGTTTCTTTAGCGGAATTTCTAGCTAAGTCGAGCTGAATTGGATGAGTTCCTATCTAACACAAGCTATGGGTTGGGTTCCAAAAGGCTAGCTGTTGAGGCATTCTGGGCTAACTGAAGGATCAATGATTGCGAAAGAGTATCTTAAGAGAAATTCCTAGCTAAGTCAAGCTAAATTTGAGGAATCCCTAACTAAAGCAAGCTATGGGTTGGCTTAGGCTTCCGAAAGGGTATCAGTAAAGGAATTCTGGAAGACCGAGGAATCAATGATTGAGGTTATCGTTGGGCTAACGAAAGGGTATCTTTAGCGGAATTCCTAGCTGAATTGGAGGAATTCCTACCTAACACAAGCTATTAGTTGGCTTAGTCTTTCAAAAGGGTATCTGTAGAGGAATTCCGGGCTAACTCAAGCTGATTGTCTGTGGGATCAATGATAGCGAAAGGGTATCTTTAGCGACACTAATTAGTCGCCCCGTTGCTATGCCTAAACGTAATCCTAGCCACAATTAGCCGCACGAAATGATGTGGAATTAATCCAGCGAACACACACAAGAGACGACTCATGATACGAAAAGGGAGGGGGGGGGGGGGGGGGGTTATCTGGTAATTAAGTCATTTGCTTGCCAGCAAATATTGCTGTTGAAATGATCCACTCGCGTTGCAGCTAATCTGACTGCACGCTGCACGCTCTCGAATCCCTCCCCTGGCTGCGGCTGGCTGCGCAACTGGTATTCTGGTATGTGGTATCTGCCACAAATAATAAACCAAAATGATTAAAATCCTAGCCATAGTCAAAGGGTTGAGCAAGTTTCGCTGTGCTCGTCGCCGTCGCCGTCGCGATTGCATGTCGTCCAATAAAACGAATTTAGCAAATTACGAGCTCATCCAGTTTCAGCTGTAGCTATGCGGCTCTGCAGCTCCAGCTCTACCTCTAGCTCCAGCTCCAGCTCCAGCTCGAGCTCGAGCTCTACAGCTCCATGTTACTGCTGAACCTCATTATACCCTAACAGTGGGGTTTCAATATTTGAGCAATAGCTATGCACTCTCTCGAACCGAGCTATCAGTAAAGCTGGTTATATGAAACTTATATCTGCTATCGAATTTACATAAATCAAAGTCTGCTCGGATCGCGTTGTAAGCTTAGGGATAATGGATCAAAAATTAAGCTAAATTACCCAAAGGTCTGCAATGCCTATAGTCAAGACTTGAGCTCCTCGATTAAATCTTCCTTAGCCTTTGGATAAAGGATTTGACCCTAGGATTGAATATCGATATTGTTATTGAATTTTAATCTCTATCAACGCTTTCTCTAGATGTCAACCCTTTGCCTAACTGTTAATAAATATTGCCCTGGGCTTGTTAGGGTATTTATTGGGCGTTATGCCCTAGTTGGGCTGTGCTTTCTGGTTTTATGAATTGAATCAGTCAAAGTGAAGGAACTGGCTGCAGAAACATTCCTGCGCTCGTCGCTAGCAGTTTGTTGTTGTCTATTTAAAACAACAACAGAAATGATTTTTCCAAGGGTCAGTCAACAGTTTTGTTGTTGTTGCTGCTGTTGTTGTCATTGTCGGCTGCGCTTGCTGATCATCAGACAGGCGAAGCAACAAGCGAGAACCGCAGCAACTGCGCCTAGTCTTGTCCAGCTTCAAGCGGCCAGTCAGTCAGTCAGTTCGTCAGAGCCTGCTGCTGCTGCAGAAAAAGTAGCTAGCAACAACAACACATTTTGTTGTTGTCGCTTTTTTTTCTCTCTGCCTGCTCCAATCCTGACTTTATTTAGGCCCCAGCAGCGGGCAGCGTCCAACTCCAAGTCCAAGTCCAAGTTTAAGAGCGCGACCGCGAAAGCGATCCAAGACTAACAACAACGTCACGAATTGTCTGTCCCGTCGGTACGTTCCTGCCTGTCCCGCTGTCCCGCTGTCCGTCTGTCCACGTTGTCCACGCTGTCCAGTCTTGACTGTCGCTCTACAATTCTTCTACCTCGCCATGTGGTGGTGCTCGGCTCTGTTCTCATCGCTGTTCGCGGTGGTTGCTCGCGTTGGTTGGGTTTCTTTTATTTTATTTTTTTTCTTCTGTTCTGGCGGGGTTTTTCGTTTTTATTGTTTGCCGACAATCAGCGCAAGATAAAAATTGGTACATGACAGCGGATCGCGTTTGTATAAATGGCAAACACTGACGCTACTGTCAACTCAAGTGTGCTTCCAGCGCTAAAAAGCTAAGGCTAAACCCAAATCTAGAGAGGCTCAGGCGAGTGCAACTCTGCAGCTGGAGGTGGAGGATCTGCCCAACCTCCCCCCCCCCCCCTCGTTCGGGCCGGAACTGAGCAGCTAGTAACGCACCCCTCCTACACAACCTGCTCTCCTCGTGCCCTGTTTTGTGGCATCAGACGGAACAAGCAATTGTTGTCATCATTGATTGTCAATAAGCATAAATTTGCACCAGAGGGGGCCCCCAAGTACAGGCTTTTCAGACCAGCTCCGAGGCCTCAGACCTTATAAGCCAGCTCGCTGAAGTAGCAAAAAAGTAGGGCCCTATCCTTTTTGTGCGTATGCGTTAAACACACACACACACACACTCGCACACACACAGGCAGCTACAAGCCCTATTTATAGCCGCAGCGGAGGGTTTTTGCCGGATTGTCGCTGCGTAGGATGTTGTCGACTTGTAGTTGTAGTCGCAATCGTCGCAGTCGCATTAGTTCGCGTTGTTATTGAGGAAATTAAGTATTTCAATGTTGTCCTTGCGTTGAGATCTGGCCCGCAGATAAGATGTCGCACTGCATTGACCCAAGGCAAACCACCTTTTACCTTTTGTCTTAAACCAAATCCGTTTAGACTCAGTTTGCTGTCGACTTGGCGTGCACTCAAAAATTGTTTTGAGGATTTAATTTCATTTTTATTTGAAATTAGGGATAGAAGCAGGCTAAATGTGGGATAGGGTTAAGTTTCTAGGTGTGTTAGGAGCTATATTCAGTCGTACAAGCAGGCAGTATTAATAGGAGTTCCTGTGCTGTTAGATGGCACATTTTTGGTTCTTAGGTGATTCTGTTTTGTTTTAGCTAGCCTTTAGATTTAGAAATTATCTAAAGAGCAGCTACACGGCCTAAGATCCCAAATGTCAGTTGAAGGAATGTTTCAGTTTCAGATGAGCATGAGATGAGGAGGCTAAGATTTTAGGAAAGATTCTTTTGGAGGAACCTTTCTATAACCGACACGCTATAGACTCTATCGTGTCATTCAGTTAAATTAAGAGAGACCTCAGTATTTGTAGGCTTCCGTTAAAGATGTGCGCTTCAATGGGTCAAGATTCTACTATTAAGATCAATTGGATTTCCGATTCCTTGGTCTGGCTTAGACTCTTACTAGCCTTGACATAAATAGCAATAAAACAGTAAAGGGGAATATATATTTGTGGAAACTTACCCAACAGTTGTAATCAGACCACTTTTGCTGTCGATGGCAAACTGCCATTGCGTCTCATTGGCCAGGGAGTAGACCAGTCTGGAGTTAACACCCAGATCCGCATCGCTGGCCTTAATGCTCAACACGCTACTGCCAATGGCCGCATCCTCCGGCACACTGGCCACATACTTGGATAGCTCAAAGCGCGGCTCATTATCGTTCTGATCTTCGACAAAGACACTGATATTGCAATGACCCTGCTGGGTGATGGGCTGACCCCGGTCCGAGGCCTGCAGCTGCAGCGTGTAGCGAGCGTGTTGCTCACGATCCAAGGAGCGGGCGCTCAGCTCGCCCGTGCGTGCATCAATGCTAAACTTGTTGCCCAGATTCCCACCTGTACGGAGGAGAGAGAACAAAGGGAAAAGCTTGGCTTAGATCTGTGTCAAATACGGGATTCACCCTCAAGCAAGAACTTACCAATAATGCTATAAACGATCTCCGCATTGGCGCCCTCGTCCAGATCGCTGGCCACCACCGTGTGAATGACGGAGGATTCGCTGTTCTCCGGCACGGATAGACCGTAGCACGCGCCGGGTCGGAACTCGGGCGCATTGTCATTGACATCGCCAATGCTGATGATCAGCGTGGCCACATCGAAGTGCTGTCCACTTGCCGGCTCCGAGTTGCTCTCCGACGATCGTTGCTTCCGTATTGCGCTTGTGGGCGTGGCAGCCATGCGATTGGCATCCCGCACATATATGGGCAGAGTATACTGTGACTGGGTCTCACGATCGAATTGGCCGCGTGTCGTCACAATGCCGCGTTGCCAATCCACATGGAAATGATCAGCGGCCACCCCAGCTGGTATTTCGTAGCTGAGATTTGCTGTGGTTGGGCAAGTAATAGGAGGGATTAGAGTTGGAAGTTAATGACTGTTTAAGTTAAATGTAAGTTCCTAAACTTCCTATATATCAGAAGATATAGCAATCCTCGATCTGATAACTTTATAGTATATGCAATTCGAAACTTAAGTTATAGGACCTCCTGTAAATAAAGTAAGACCTGGGAAAGGTCTACCTATAATCTCGAGAGTTCAGTAAAACAATCTCAATATGATTTTGTGTAGCTTAAATTTGAGCCTTGAATATATAAAGAATATATATTTCACATATCAAGTCTCCAGTTGTATTAGTTTCCAAGATAGACACTTTTATACAGACGGACAAAAGGTCATGGTTAGATGGACTCGACTCGTCCATCTGATTAAGGTCGGGGCTGCTTTCTTCTGCCTGTTACATACTCAATTTAAATGTGTTTAAAGCTACATACCGTTGTCCGCTCCATGGAAGGCTTTGGCGGCCACCTGCAGCACAAAGCTGCCGCTGGGCACGTTCTCGAGGATGGTTGCCTGGTAAACAGCCTGCAGAAATCTGGGCGGATTGCTGTGGCTGCCCTGCACCAGCAGCTGCAGGCTGAGCGTTGTCTGCTGGGCTGTCGGAGCGCCATGATCGCTGGCACGGATCGTCAGCATAAATCGGCCGGTCTTGTCCAGCTGCTCGGAGGCCGGCGGCAGCGTCTTGGCCAGCTCAATGATGCCCGACTGTGGCTTGATGCGAAAGCGACCCTCACCATTGCCGCTGACAATGTCGTAGCTGATGCGTCCGTTCTCGCCGGCATCGCGATCTACGGCCACAATGTGGGTGACCATTTCGCCAATGCGCGTGGCATCGCTCACATAGACCGTGGCTGCACCACCTGCACTTGTGCTGGGCACCACAAACTGTGGTGCATTGTCATTGGCATCCAGTATGCGCAGCCGCACCGTGACCGAGGTCTGCAGGCGTTCCGTGACGTTCGAGGATTGATCGAGAGCCTGCACAATGAGCAGATATTCCTGCAGCGATTCATAGTCCAGCGGTGCCTGCAGGCTCAGCGAGCCCGTCAGTGAATCCAGGGCAAATAGTGGGCTGACCTGCTCCAAGCTCTCGTTTAGTTGCGGCGTATAGCGCAGCAGACGATACTGCAGCTCCCCGTTGGTGCCGGAGTCCGCATCGGTGGCCGTAAAGTTGTGTAGAATGGCGCCAACCGGCAGCGATTCGCTCACCTCCAGCTCAATGGGATCTTTGGGCCAGCGGGGTGCATTATCGTTCACATCGGCCACCTCGATCTTGACGGTTATGGCGCTGCTCTGCGGATTATTGCTGGCCGAGGTGTCCAGGGCGCGTATCTCCAGCCGAAATTCCGACTGCAGCTCACGATCGAGCTGACGGGCCACAACCAGATTGCCGGTATTCCTGTCTATGTCGAAAGCGCCTTCAATGAGATCCTTGCTCAGCGGATTTAGCGTGTAGGTGACGCACAGCTGGTCACCCAGCTCGTCCAGGCTATTGCCATTCACAGGCGGCAGCTCCGCGCTGCGCTCATTGGGACTAATCGAGCCAACCACATGACCAACGACCGCATCCTCGCGTACCTGCAAAGAGGCACCCAATGAAAAAAAAGGAGTAAATAATGCAGCAAAGGCAATTATAGATTATTTGCTGTTTGTGGGGGCATTAAGAGAGAGGGGCTCTCCACAGTTCTCAGGCTGGACGCTCTACTTGGTCGCCTCTGCTGCCGCTGCTGCCGCTGTTGTTGGTTGTCGTCTGGTCCGGGGTATCTTAATCTCAACAACAGTGTTGAAAATCCAATCTTAAAGCAATAATTCATACTTCAAGATTACGAAGGCAGCAAACATTTAAAAATTTCATTCCACCAAAAAACAACGTTGTCTGCCGCTTGCCCCGCTCTCTGCCCAGGCCCAGGTGAGCGGTTGATCGGTTGAGTGGTGCGCGGTGTGCGGTAAGACGGGCTGGCCAGCACCAGCCAGCCAGCAAGTCCGTGGCATTGGCCATGGCCCAGACACAGACACGGGCATTGGCAATGGCATTAAAAAGAAATTATGCATTCCGACCAAAAGTTGCCGGCCCCGAAAAATCACTGAAGAAAAATGTGAGTCGACTTGGGTGGAGGTGAAGGAGGGCAAGGGGGAGGGGGGGGTCAGTGTGTGGTGGTGCAGCGCATATAAGAATTTAATATGCAAAACCGCAAAAACCGTTTCGCAGCATACAAAAAAAAAACAGCACAAGAAAAGGTTTTGCGTTCTTTTTGGCTCTTCTGCAGGGCTCAGTGCGGTGTGTTGAGTGTGTGTGTGTGTGTGCATCGTTATTTTTTCATAATATACATTGAAAATATTGTTTGGGTCGCCAAAATGGAGACACAAAAATGACAGTCACGAGATTTATGCCGCAGCCAAGATTACGCAGCAAGAAGGAGAACTTGGAGCTGCGGCTGCGGTGGTGCAACTGCCGCAGCTCCTGCTGCTGCTGCTGGCTTTTGGTTTTGCTAACGACTACTGCGCCGGCTGAGGCAGCAAATTATGCACGGGCATATTGCCACAAAAATGGACACTGCCAAAATGGCGAATGATTTGTTGTGTACTTTTATAGCTGACTGCATTTAAGGAGGAGGGCGGGCTGCATCATTGGAAATTGCTTAATTACAACGACGCACATTTAGAGAGGCGAGATTTATTTGTGAGCCGCCAAACGGACCCAGCTCCAGCTCCAGCTCCAGTCAGAGCCACAGTCAACGCCAACGCATAAGAACAAAGCGAGAAGAATGCAGATGCAGTTGAGGACAAAGCGAGTGGAATCAAAGGCGGCCGCCAACGAAACGCAACGAAATGTGTCAATTTTAATTGTTGCCGCAGCGGATTTAAAAGGCGAACCGCGCCAGAAAAGCCAGAGTGAGAGAGAGAGACAGAGAGTGACAGAGAGTGTGAGCGAGACAGAGAGACAGAGAGAGGGCGAGGCAATTAAATGCATGTCAAAGCGTCGCAGCCATCAGTGCCTCGGCTGGCTTTTCGTCCTCGTCCACATGCACACACAGTGTGTATCGGAAATGATCAACAGAGCAGAGTGGGGGGGGGGGGGGGGGGGAAGTGGGAGGAGAAGCGTGGGGAAGATGAATTGGTCACAGGAGCAGTCCGAGCCTGGGCATTGGGAATGCTTTCGGTGCCGGATTGCTGCGGATAGGCATGTGTTGTATGCAATAATGTGCGGGGTATGCAAAACATGTGCGAATCGAACGTGATAAAAATGTTAAAAGTCGCAGCATTTTTAACTGCCGCGCGCTGCAACATGCCGAAATCTAAACAGCATGAAAAGATACTGCAGAGCACCGAACTGTTTAATACACTCGCTGACATAATCACTAAATGGGCAGACATAATGTAAGCTGTTCTAAGGCAAATTCTCGTCAATTATTTAAAAGGATTTAGATTAAGGATTTTGTTTTCTATCTTGGTAATCGGTTTGCTAGCCCCAAGCTGAGCGATAAGTTGATTAAATTTGGAAGCTCTCAAGTTTTCCTTTTTAATTTTAAAAGCAAGTTTCTTTTTTCAATAATTCGTTTGTTCTTATGTGAATCTTGTTGCCCAGTAAAAATTATATAATGGTATATGAATAAGATATCGCAAATAAATATGATAATTGTTTCATACAGTTCCTTTTGACAGATAGTTCCTCTGACAGCTTTACTAGCCAGATCCGTCATTTGTAGAAGCACCAGCATAAAGAATCACAGCTGCCAAGTTTTGCCAAGCTGGCTTTACTGTGAGCTTAGTTCAAATAGGTTTAGACAGTCCTACATGGCTATAAGGACTCTGAACGACTTCCTGTTTGGACAGATATAAACTTAAAGGAATCCAGAGAAGTCTTGATATATTTCATATTGCATTCATAATACTCTTTGGTAGAGTATAACAGTTACGAATCGCAGTTAATGGAAAAGGGCCAAGGCCAAGGGGAGATAGAGGGGGGACTGCAGTCACAGTCACAGTTCACAGAGTGACAATTACGCGTGCGCCATGAACAACGACAGGCAACGAAGATGTTGCTGCGCCCTCCCCCCTCAACCCCCCTGCCCAGCACAGTGCATGCAAATCGGGAAGCGTTTGCCGCGCTGACCACCCTGTGCCGCCCGAGCTGCTGTGATGTCTGTTTCCCCGAGGCTGTCGCTGGCAACTGGGAGCTGGGAGCTGTGAGCTGGGGGAATCGTGTTCTTGGCCATTGTCACGTGACGCCCGATGCAACAAATCATCCGCACAAAAGGCAGGCGACAAACGCGCAGATCACGACTGGCAAAAAAAAAAAAAAAAGACAAGAGTAAGAAGAAAACGAGAAGCAGGAAATCAAACGAGAAACGTTGAACGCGTCGCGTCGCGTCGTGTAAAACTAGAAGCGTCAAATAGACAAAAGTTTTCCTGGAAAGAGCAGAGGGACCTGCCACGTCTGCCACATCTTGCTGCCTGTCGCTTTGTGGCCGGGGCAAATGACCCGCCCATAAATCTCTCACTCACCCTGAAGACCAGACTGGAGCTGGTGAACGTTGGCCGATTGTCATTCAGATCGAGCACCTCGACGCGCAGCATTCGCAGCGTCTGTTTGGGCGGATTGCCGCCATCGGTGGCCGCCACCGCCAGGCGATAGATGCTCCGCTCCTCGTGGTCGAGCATGACGCGTGTGCGAATCAGGCCCGTGTTGGCATCAATGCTGAACAGGCCGTGGCCATCCGAGTCACGACCCTTCAGCAGCGAATAGTTGATGGATGCATTCTGGCCGTGATCGCGATCGATCGCGCGTATGCGCACCACCTCGGTGCCCGGTGGCTGCTCCTCGCGCACGCTAACCACATCCTCCTGCGGATCGGCTATCTCCGGCGCATTGTCATTCACATCTGTCACATGGACACGCACCGGTGCCCTGGCACTGCGCATCGGTGTGCCCTGATCCCGTGCCTCCACCATCAGATCGTATAGTTCGCGCATTTCCCGATCCAGCGGCTCGCGTGTGCTTATCTCACCTGTAATTGAAGGGGGGTAAAGAGAAGGATTTTTGTAATTAATCAAGTGTCAATAAGTTAGAGTTTTCTAGTCCGCAATGGTCGACTAGCAGATACCCTTAACTCAGCTCTCATGTTAAAATTATTCTACCTTTCTTCTATGCATACATAGACAAAAAAATATACACACACACACACAAGATCTCTACAAAGGGACTGCTCTTCTTCTTCCCTTGGTCCCACTCTATGAATAGGAAATGCACTCTTGATTAACTTCGGTGCTTATTGTCCGATCTTTATGGAATTTTCTGTGCTTGAATATTGTTTATAAAAGTGCGTGCATACCAAAGCGCAAGGGTCTACATTGGAAAGGAAGTTTTCTTTAGTTTTGGGTGGGAAAGTAAGGAGATATTGAAAAAGTGAAATGTTTTTAATCTGTATTTCATATACGAGCAGCTACACACCAAGTTTGGTGGATAAAACTCTTATGATTTTCGAGCTATGCTTAAAAAACAATGTCTAAAAATCGATAATTATCGATAATATGAAAATGGACGGATATATGGAGAAGACAAGTGATAAGCTCCTTTTCCTATTGGTACAGTAGAATAAATATATAAAATTTCAAGGCTCTAGCCTTTGTTGTTTCCGAGATCAACTCGTGTACACAGACGCAAGGAGTAGGATAGAGGTCAAGAAATATGAAAGGAGGGTGGGAGATGTCTTTTCTGGTTGATATATGTAAATATATTTATATTCTGCGCCATTTTTTGAGTACCCTCGTTTTTTGCTAGACACTCCAAGCTCTCTCAACAAGCGGCAGCAAGGGAGAGAGAAACAGAGAAAAGAGGGAGCGAGACAGAGTGAAAGAGAGGGAGCGAGAGCTAGTGCTAACAATTGTTGATTAGTTTGGAAAATGTGGCTCGTAACTGGGTCGCAGATGATTAATGCCAAAGTGTTGGCTGGTGGTTGTGGTTGTGCTGGTGGTGCCTCCGCCTGTTGCCATCAAAATGTCATGCCTGGCAGCGTGGCGGCCAAAAGAAAATCATGTCAGGAAAAACGAGTTTGCCGGAGCCTCTGTTTTGGCTGCTGCTGCCTCTGTTGTTGCTGCTTCCAGGATTAGCTGCACGCGATTTCCATATTTAATTTAAATGAAGCGAGACGCTGGCGCTGGCACAGACTGTGGCTCCTTTGGCAGCAAAGGCCCCTAAAGCGGACACGCACACACACACCTGCACACACACTCGGACACAGTGGCCGGCAGAATGTCAACCCAATGATATTCCATTGACGGATGAGCTGACAGCGTTAAAACTGTTGTTGCTCAAACACTAATGGTCATGCGCTACTCCCGGCCTGCAGCCAATGCAGCCAGAGCAGCCCGAGATAGTTGCCCGCCGGCTGCCGGCTGCCCCATCTAGCCATATCTCAAACAGATCGCATTTTATCGCTTCGCCCCATCGCCGCATCGTCAGAGAGCGGGAACAGGTTTCCGTTTGCTCGTGCGCGTTTGATCTATGGGCGACGTGGGCAATGCCAAGGAGCAGTGCAGAAGCGACAGCCAAGTGGAGCAGTAATGAATGACCATGGGTCATGGCTGCTGGCTTGACAGTGGCTTCTCCTTGCCTTGGACACGAACTCTAACGGCCGAGCTGAGCTGAGCCTAGCTGAACGGAGCTGAGTGGAGCTGAGCTGAGCTGAGTGAGTTGTTCGACTGGGACATTTGCTTGGATTGGATTGGCGGCTACCGCGCCGCGACACTAATTTATGGCAAGAGGATGCATCGACTCACCTGTGACGGGATGCACCTGAAAGCTGGAATTCGCTGGCAGCAGGCTGTAGCGTATGGCCGCATTCTCACCGAGATCCGCATCGCTGGCACTGACAACGCCCACAACGGCGCCGCGTCGCAGATTCTCCTCAATCCGGAACTCGTAGCTCTCACGCTGAAAGCGCGGATCATTATCGTTCGCATCGAGCACACGGACGAGCACACGAGCTCGTGCATGTGCCGCCGGTGTCCCATTGTCGGTGGCCAGAACGGTTAGCTCATAGCGATCGCGGCTCTCTCTGTCGAGAGCGGCGCGCAAATAAATCCAGCCGGAGTTGGGAAAGATGCCAAAATGCTGGGCAAGTGCGGCATCCGGGCCGCCAACACTCGCCAGGCTCGGGCTGCTGGCATTGTCCGCACCCGCATCCACAATGCGGTAGGTGATGCGCGCATTGTTGCCCGTGTCCAGATCGCTGGCATTCACCTGGATGATCTGCAAACAAACAGAGTTAAGAGTCAGTGTTAATTTGGAACAGCCCGAGAAACAGTAGATAGCGGGAGAGAGAGTGAGAGAGAGGGAGAGGGGAGGCAACGATCTACATGCCAAACACGGCTGGCGGTCATCAATCATCCGCTGAAGCGGCGGCATTGGAATCTCTGATGCATGTCTGCGTAAATCTCTAGAGGAATCCCTAGAACTGCTGCAACTCGTTTCAGCCTCGTGATGCCAAAAGATATAAAGTGATTTTATGATCAAAACTAGTTCAGCGCGAGGCAACAGGCAAAAGGCAGCAGGCCGCATGCAACATGCAACACAGGCTGCCATTTGGCTGTCCAGAGCATGGACGTGGCTGCAACAGCAACAGCCGCAGCCGCATCTTCTCTGGGGTGTTGAGATATTTTAAAAAAGATATGACGCCTGCCTGACAAAAGCGTGACTTTTACGGGCTGTTAATCAAATTTATGTTGCGCATTTAGTTTGCATTACAAAAATTTATTTTTCAATAAAACTTCAGGCAGCCAAACGTGGCCAGTTGGCCAATGTTGGTGGGCGGGCGGCGGGGTTGGGTGTGCGGAATAAATGCACTTGGAAAAATATATAGAAAAATATAAAATGAACTTAGATACGGCCATAAAAATATTGTCTTCAGATCATAGAACAGAGCTTTTGCCAGATTTAATTTGTTTTCCAACTTCTTCTTGCCAAAACGTTTATAATGAAGTATGGAATATAACTGAAATATCTGGGATATTGTAAGTAAAGTTTCGAAAAGATATGCCATTGTGGACTCATACGGATAAGTACTATAGATTCCCAATCTAAAACTTGAACTATTTTCACAAAAATGTTTCGGTTCTGATATCAAATATTGGATATGCCAATTTCCATGTTCTTTGGAGTTTCACGATTTCAAAATCCCATTTTAGTCTAAAATCGAATTTCATTTACCCCGAGTCTTAGTCATCTTAATATTTTGAAAAATAATTAAACTCAATTTCTGGTGAATTTTAAGTCGGATTTTCGACCTCTTTTATATATATATATACCTCTTTTAAATCGAACGGATCACAACTATCGATTGGCATTCAAAAATACTCGATCTAAAAATTGATCTGTTTTGACAAAAGTGACAAAAGGTAACATAAAAATTTTTGCAAAAATGTGGTAGGCTATAAAGTGAAATAATTCGTTCTATGGAGTTTCACTAGTCCAAAAAGATATATTTCTCCAAAATCGGACGTTATTTAGCCGAGTTATAGACTTTTAAACTTTGAAATATTATTAACGAAAGAACTCGGGTATATCTAGACCCAGATAGCTCGGGTATATCAGGACTATGAACTCTTAGGCTATGAAGGCTCTTCTTGTCAAGTTCTTAATACTGAAAGCATTCGATTTTGGGCAGCTTTCCAGAATTGGAGAGCAATTTATTGAACATGGCAGAACATGGAAAAAACTTAAAACTCAGTATATCATTGAAAAATCTTTACAATTCTATAATCAGAATTTAACCAGATTAGCAGACATAACTTTTTCCTTTTAAGATGATTCGCAAATATTTTACTTCGCTTATAAACTTGTAGACTTGAGAACTCTTTTCTATGATTCAAGTAGACTTATTTTTTGAGTGTAATCTTACCTGTGCATTGATGGCTCGCGATTCGGACACATTCACCGCATACTCGTCGCGCTCAAAGACGGGCGGATTGTCATTGACGTCCTGGACATCGACGAGTATCGTGAGATCCGCCGAGAGAGGCGGCAATCCGGCATCGGTGGCCGTCACTATTAACGAGTGCCGCTGCGCCGTCTCGTAGTCGAGATGCCGTGATAGCACCAGGTGGCCCGAGCGTGCATCGATAGCGAAAAGCGGCGTGGAGCCGGTGGCCAGCGCCTTGCCATGCTGCTGGGTGGCATTGCCCTTGAGGCTGTAGGTCACCTGGCCGCTGCTGCCCGAGTCCTTATCGTGGGCATGGGCCGCAAACAGCGGTGCGCCCAGCTCGGCATTCTCGGGCACCGAAATGCGCACCATGCTCGTCTCGAACTCGGGCGCATTGTCATTGACATCCTCCACCTCGATGTTCACCTGCGTGTGGCCATAGACGGGCGGCTCCCCGCTGGTCGCCTGTATGTTGAGCAGAACCTGCGCCTTCGCCTCATGGTCCAGCGAATGGGCAATCCGTATATTGCCCGAGGCTGGCTCAATGCTAAAGTAGCCATCCGGGTCGCCCGAGTATATCGAGTAGCGCACCGGACTGCGTTGAGCTGCAAACAGAGAGAAAGAGAGAGAGAGAGAGAGAGACAGAAAGATGAGCACAAGACACAAATTGATGAAGAAGAATGTCAAAGGAGGGGGGTGGCGCGGGGTTAAAGGGTTGCCCAAAAGGTGCCTCATTAAAGGCAATTCAAATGCCAGCGATGCAAACAAAGGACGCGCAATGAGTTTGCAGATGGAACAATAGAACGAAAGAATGAACGAGCGCTGGGCCTGGTTCCAGATTGACACATGAGCGCGGGGCACTGGGAAGGTTTTTGAAGAGATAGATGGAGGGAGGGGGAGGGGGGGTTGGGGCAGCAATGAAAGGAAGTGCACAGCGAAAGCAGCAAATTAAAGCTCAAAATTCATTTTGCATAGCCGGGCACACACAAAAAAAAAAAAGAGACTCCCAACTTCAGCCAAACCGCTTCTCTCTCCCCTGCCCCTGCCACTTGATCGCCTGTTCTCCCCCCCTCCCTTCCCAGCAATCGGTAGACAGGCACTCGAGCTCGTGTCTTGGCCTTTTGTATCAGCGAGCGCTGACGAGGACGTGGAATATTGTTGATGGGTGCAGATTTCTGCCGAAATTTGCGTTTGAAGTGTTTTGCTTTTGCTTTGTTGTGCCAGTAAGACCCCCACTCTGTCTGCCCCCCTCCCCCATCTCTGCTGCTCGTTCCCCTGCCTTGTCACTGACTGTGCCTCTCCCTCTCCCTCTCTCTCTGACTGTCTGTCTCTGTCTCTGTTGGCCAGTGGCCCATTTTGTTGCAAGCAAGCGCTTTTTGCTTGTACAAATTTTATTTTAATTTTTCTTGGCTTGTTATACACTTCACAAAGGGCATTTCAGCTTTTGCATGTTTTGTGCAACAGACTTGCGCTTCATTTGGTAAATATACTTAATCTGGACCTAGAAATACTTTATCATGCAGCTGTCATAGGAACGATCCATGGAAAACCGAGTCTTCCGACTAAACAAATTCTGCTTTTAGTCTTCTATCCATCAATCCATCTTTTTAGAATAATGATTCTACCACACTCAACAAGTAAGAGTTCACTTTAGTATATATACTTTGAGTTTGCCCAACATAATGCTTATATAGCATAACATTTCGCTATGCAATTGATCTCATATATAAAAACTTTTTAGGTTTTTCTAGATTAATACTTGTTCTTTCTTCAACTCTGCAAATTATAAGTTTTTTACTTTACAATTTTTCACAATTTTATAAGACTCGGACTAGTATATCATATAAGTACTATAGCAACAATCTAAACTATATTTCAATTACTTTAATTACTTAAAATCTTTTGTAGATTCGAACATGGTTTTTAAGATTTGGCTAATTATTCTGGAAATTCTACAACTATATACTAAGTATAGAAGAAGTTGGGCCAAAATCCATTTCAGGTAAGTGCGAAAAACAAATTGTTTTTAAGACCTTACCTAAGCTACTTAGTCTGAAATGTTTCAATTAATTTGGGCAATGGGTACTGAAGGTTTGATGCTTAAAAGAGTTCGCGTCTTTAAAGTTAACTACATAATATATAATTGAAGTTCGCTCCCAGCTAGTTGACTAAGACTTGAATGAGGTCGGCTTAAATGCCCAGCAAATCAAAGCAAGGGTATTTAATATTCGCTGTATCTAACGTAGGCTGTTCTCGTTTGCTTCTCTTATTTTTTTTTGTTGGCTCAAACATTGGACCATTCAACCGTTGGTCCATTCGATCGTCAGTCCGCTCTGTCGTCCGTCCGTCTGTCCATCATATGCGCATATTTTGTTTTCCAGCTCAGTGAACTAATGAATGCAATCCAATACAAAGACGTCGCGACGCTGGCCACGGTCAGACTTAGGTAGCCACGGTCAGACCCAGCATACATGCACATAATTTGGCCAAACAGATGAGTCTGCTGCACTCCGAGTTGGGGGTTTTTTTTTTATAGAACTCACCCGTGTCACTGCTGGTGGCTATCACGGAGCCGACGACTGTGCCGCGTGGCACATCCTCCTTCACGTAGTAGTTGTAGCGCGCCTTCTCGAAGATCGGCGGCCGTTGCTGGGCATCGATGATGCTGAGAAAGACGACGGCATCGGTGCTAGTGCGCAGACCGCCGCCGTCTGTGGCCGAGATGTTGAGCATGTGCATCGCCTGGGTGCGCACCGAGAGCATGTCCGGCCGTATGACGAATATCTCGCCGCTGGCGCGATCGATGCGAAAGATGCCCGCCTCGTTGCCGGCCACAATGCGATACGACACCTGGCCAAAGCTGCCCGCATCCGGATCCGTGGCCACCACGGCCACAATGGGCATGGGCGTGCCGCTGGCCTGTGCCGGCCCAGACTCACGCAGCGACACATTATATTCGCGCGGATAGAACACGGGTCGATTATCGTTGACATCCGTCAGCTGGAGCTTGATCATGGCCGTGGTGCTCAGGCCGCCGCGATCGGTGGCCAGCACGGGAAACTCGTAGCTGTTGCGTCGCTCGTAGTCCAGTTCGCCGGCAATGCAAATCTCGCCCGAGGCGGAGCGCACCTCGAACTCGGTCAGATGCTTGAAGCCCTCGCCGAGCGTATAGTTGACCATGGCATTGACGCCGCAATCCGGATCGCTGGCCGAGACCTGCGGGCGAAAACAAAAAAGGGAACGCGATATAATAATGATTATTATGGTGGTTGTGGTGGTGCTTTTTTTGCTGCTGCTGCTGCTGGTTAAACGGTTGCGCTGCCAATTACAAATGAAGTTGTCAAAATCTTAATTTGATTTAAAGGCAGCGCGGCTTAAGCCGCGCACAGCTTAACTTAATTTGCAACAGTCCGTGGAGCAATTTGTTTTGGTCATGCTTTGTTCTCCTCCTCCTGCCCCAACTCGAGCTCGAGCCTCAGGCGGCGGCGTATTAAGCGTATGTCAACTTAAATTTCGGTTTTTATTTATTTATTTTTTTCTCATATATATATATATGTTTTTTTTTTTGGGGGGGGCTCGCAAGGGAGCATTGACCTGGCTTTAATGGCTGCCAATTAGCTGGCATTTGCGTAATCAACATTTACATTTTACAGGCTGCACGCCGCTGGCCTACGCCACCCTAAAAATAGACCCAGACCCAACAACCAGTAGCAACCGGTGGGTAGGTGGTGTAGGTCGACGGGGGGACAGTCAAGAGTCAGAGCTCTGGCATTTTGACGCCAACGAACAAGGAGCAACAAAAAAATCAGCAATTAAAACTGTCATTATTTCACTTTAAATAGTGGAATATACCCCCCGTCCCCTCCCCGCCCCCTCTCAGACAGTTGCAGGGCTAAACAGACGACAACAAGACGAGTGATCCCCACCAGGCTGCGGCTCTGTCCCTGTCCCTGTCCCTGTCTCTGTCTCTGACTCGGTCTGGGTCTCGAGACTCCCAGACTGATATGCATTTAAAGCGAAACGTGTCCACGTCGCGGCGACTCCTCACGTTCAATTTCTGCGCTAATTACACTTTTTGTAAGCCAAAGGCATCGAACTGCTCGGCTTCGGTTGGGTCCGCCTGGCGAAGATCTGCTTAGATTGTTGCTGCTGGGCTGCCGGACTGCTGGGCTGCTGTGCTGACTAAAGACTTTCATTAAGCTTAGTTGGCAGCCGTTTAAACCCGTTTAACCCGAGCGAAATTGTCGCCAAGCCAAGACGTCGACGACGACGATGTCGTCAGAGCCAACAGATTGGCAATTTTATCTGTCAACAACATGGAACTGCTGTTGAGAAACACGGCCCAAAGACAGTTCCCGACGGCGACGGCGACGACGAGGTTGCCAGCTGCAAAAACGCCCACACGAATTTCGAGCGGGGATGAGCAGCAGCCAACGCCTGGCCGGGCCTGGCCTGGCCTGCCCAGACGCCTCGTGGGCTCAGCCTGGGCCACTGATAACTACCAGCAGCAGCAGCAACGGCAGCAGCTGCAGTGAAAGGTAAATCAAAACGAAGCATTCGCCAATTGCCAGAAATAACGACAATGAGACAAAATGTAGAACCAGTTAAAAAACAGTTTTCGAAAGGAACAAACACATTTGACCAGACCAAAGGCAGTTTTTGGTTATATTAAGCTGATCCTAGCTAATCCTAACTAACATGTGGCTAAACAATATGTTGGTCTTTTTAATGTTGTATTTCAGACATGAACTCAATTGACAATCCTTTATTCTTGTGTGATTTACATGCGAAGGTAGTCAAATATCGATAACATCATAAATTTGATGGAAACGGGAAATGTTATGTTAAATGTGATATATAAAACAAAATAAATAGGTGAAAATGGGTTGTTATAGGACTGAAAATCTCGACATATTCTCAATTAACTCAAACTTGAAACCGATATTTATCGTTATATAAAAAAAAGCGCAGTTGTCGATTACAAGAAATATAATTGAGCTGCGTTCGGTAGAAGAAAATATATGCTTCGAATTTCTGCTTTGTTTTAAGTCTTATAATCCTCCACGTAAGGCCAATGAAATCAATCTAAAAATCGATATTTTTCGGTTTTAGCTTAAAATGACATCGGTTTTAACTTAAAATGACATTAAAGAAAAACATAGATGTGTTCCAATTGTTATGTTAACCTAATAGTTTTCGAGATTAAGGCATTTGTATGGACAGACGGGCAATACATAGAGGAACGTGATCCTAATTTAGAAGATTTGTAGAGAAAGACATAGGTAGACATAGATGGATGGTAGTTATCGTGTTGTAGTCCGTTTTAGAATTTTGTCAAGCTACATAAACCATAAAGAAACGGAAACTCTTTAATTTTCATTGCTCTTTACGACCGATTGAGCCTTGGCGGACTGTATGATATAGAAGTAATAAGGTGGCCGATATCAAAAATATTTTCTATATGCAGAAAAAACTTTCTTGCAGCCTTAAAGCTTGGTTCACCTAGGGAAAGGCTAAGCGAATAAATAAATAAAATAAACTCAACTCTTCTTTAAGTTCGAAAAAAATATATATTCGAATGGATTTCGAAATGTCACACTCAATGCGTTACGCATTTCGTCACTTAAGTACTTCACAATACAAGGGCTGAGTTGTCTGATAAAAATCAAGTTCGTTGCTTAAGTCAGTCGTTTTGCCTGCACACAGCCGAAGAAATCGAAGCGAAGTTGTCGTCAAAACTTCTCAAGAGTTATTCATCTTTGTCAGCACGCACTTCCGCACACACTCAGGCGCAGCACTTGTGGGGTGTGTGTGCGAGTGTGCGAGTGTTTGTGGTGTGTGTGGTGTGTGCAGCAGCAACAGCATTCAATAACCAATTATGGCCTAACAAGGCCTCAGTTTCTCGACCTCAGCTGTATCCAGCTACTGCGACCGCTGTTGATGTATGCAAATAAGCTGTCAAAAGTAATTTCATTCAATTACCTTATTTATCGTACGAAACAACCAAAACGACGGAGAAATTCTGTCATGGCCAAAACCAAACACGAAGCACGGCCAACAACAATGCGGTCGAGCCTCAAACACACACACACACACACACACACAGCAGCAGCAGTTGGCCAGTTGATTGCCCCGCTTCTCTGGCTAACTGGCGTGTGAGGCTCGAGGTGCTGAGAAACTATCCGAGCAAAGCTCCCCATGCAGCCAGCCAGCCATCCAGCCAGCCACATCCTGAGCCATCGGATCGTGGTTTGGCTTGATTAACACCTCGGCCAAGCGACGGGGAGTGGACTGCGGGGAGCGGGCATTGCATTTGGGGCTAATAGAAGGTGGCCAAATGTCGGTCGTGTCTCTGCCGTGGATTATCAAGCAGCCAGCGCTTTTGATAAGAGTCGGACATGTCTTGGGGCCCGTGGCTTACTGTAGTTGCACTGTTGCAGCATTTCCATTCCTGCCCCTGCCACATGCAGCATGTGGCAGTTGTTGCTGCTGTTGTTGTTCTTGGCTAGGCCAAGCAACAACGCAGCCTTGCATATTTTTATGCAATTTCCGGCAGATGTGGATGATTTACCTGCCCCATGAGTGTGCCGCAGCGCGTCTGATGAGAAATGACTACGTGCCACAGAGAAGAGCGCCAAAGTGAAGACTGGGGCGTGGAGCACGGAGAGCGCGAGTGTGGAGAGTGCAGGCTGAAGAGTGCCGAGTGCCGAGTGCTGATTGCCAAATACTTTGTGCTTATCCGCAACCATTTGAACAACATTCATTCTCAATGTTAAATGTGAGTCGTGTTTGCCTAACGTGACACGTTAGATTAAATGGCAGCTAGCTCTGCTGATGCCGAGAAACAACGATTAATCGGATAATCGAAACAGCTTCGATTCGCATTCTATTTGAAATTTACAGGTACTTAGGAAAAAGGACGGCTCGGGTCTTATCTATTTTACTGTGCAGATTTATTAGTTCCCATAGAAATGAATTGCTTTTATTATAAAATATTTGAAATGTAATGTGTGCGTAAATTTCATGGCTTTTTTAAGGTTCGACAAAAGTCTTTGAAAACTTTTTATAAATTCTGCAGCATCATATTCCTTTTTTCTGTGCAGATTTATATCCCCATATAAATGAATAATTTATATTATAATATATTTAAATGTGCTGATCTGTGTACGCCAATATTTTAACTTTTTAAAGTCTCATAGGCAATCTCCATTCCCTTTTCTGGAACAGGAAATTATAAGGAAAGGCAATTCAATTGTATACATTTTAGAAAGAAAGTTTAATGTATATAAATAGGGAACTTCTCAAGCTTTTAATGCTCACACAGAATTTTATGTGAAACCCGTATCCGTACATTTAAAAATTGTTTAGCATTGGCATTCAATTTATTAATTGTCTTGCAGAATATATTTTTATATATTAAAATATATATTATATGTGCGCAGCTTGTGCTCGTGTTGCCAAAAATATGCCACACGTGCCCATCTCTAATGCTCTTGGCTTAGACTCTAAGCTTTGAGCACTTTCTGTCTCTTGTCTATGTCTCTTGTCTCTATGGGGCATTAGCATACCCTACTTATGGATCAATCAAGAGTCTCTGGCGACGCTATCGAGCGACGCTGTAATCCAATCTGCATGGCACACATTGCAATTGGGGGCAATGAAAGTGTTTGCTTGTTGACTCTTGCTGCTTGTGTGGTTGTGTGGTTGTGGTTGGTGTGGTGGTGCGCGTGGGTGGTGCGCAGAGCAGCCATGTTGTGTGCAGAAAGCGTGCAGTTGTATCGATGGCTCGTTGGTTGACCAGCAGGCGAATTAGTTTATAAAAAATATGAGACCTACGCAAGCTGACTCCGAGAAGCCCCTTACAGCTTACAGCTTGCAGCTTGCAGCAAGGAGCATGCCACAGTTGTGGCTGCGTCGTGTGAAGATTTCGCACTATTACATTGATTAGTCATGGGTCCCCATCAGACCCGACTCCAGTCTCCATATTTCCGCTATGCTCTATGCATTTGCTTGTGCTGCTACCTCTTCTTCCTCGTCTTCTTCTTCTGCCTCCACATGCCACCTGATTTATGTTGACGCCTTATCAGCGCCTCTCAATATTTATTGCAATTTTTAGAAATTATTTTTTTGAACAAAATTCAACGCGTTCTCGGCACCCTTTAGCCAGGCCGCAAGATTTATATGTGAGCAGATGTGAGGCTTTGATGAGGAGCTCT